TTGCTGCTATAGTCTCATTCTGTGTAGGATTTAACGAGTTAGCAGTATGCAGTGCCAAGAGCTGTCTATGATGGTGAATGTTATAGGGAAGGATGCCCCCTTTTCTGTTTGGTAGGTGAAGTGTGAACAAGTGATTTTTTTACCTTGAGAGATATAGAGAAGTCTCATGGTAATGAAAGTGCAGAAAGTGCTATGAAAAGATTGGAAAGCAGCACTCAAATAAGCTGGGCCAGCACCTGTGGGTCATCAAGGGTACAGAAGCACCTAAGCAATGAGCAGTGGCACGTGTGGCACCTCAGAAGTGCAGCTACTTTCGCTCATTCAATGAGAGAGAAGATTTGCACTAATATTGTTTAGACTGGATATCATGTCTACATCTTGTACTCTGAAAAACTACTACAAAGGCAACAACGTGCAATGTATTGATTATTGTAACTGTCCTACTAACTTCCTTTGAAATTGTCTCATTGCTATTTCCCTCTTATTAAAATTAATAAAATTTTTAAAAAGTGCAGGTAGAAACAAAGTAAATCCTGAGGAAGTATCTCCTGAAACATAGACTCAGTCAAACTTGTGGATCCTGTTTTTGGATTAAAGGGAACTATGTGTGCAAGGCAAAAGCACAGAGACAGAAGGTGGCCCAGGAGACAGAGCCTGTTGAATAGCATCTGAGGGAGTAAAGGTTCACATCAACCAGCAGCCTGTCAATCTCAGTGCTGTCTATAGTGAAAGACTCTGGAAGGTGGGAATGAGAACACAAATGTTGATAAAATGCAACATAGCAAGACCAAATAAGTTTGGAAAATATGAAAAAAAAAAGGCAAAGGATCTTTTGGGTAGTGTATATAGCAGTACCTCTATTGTGACACACTGCACTGCAAACAGAAGAGCTACTGGAAAAGAGGTTAATAGGTTGGGATGAATGATCTTACAAGGCCCATATGACAGCTTGCAATTTAGTCCTTTGTGCAAAGAAAAGCCTGTATTTTGTATGTAAGAAGAGGAGTCTATGATATAACTTCCCTATTTGAAGATGCCCCTTTTTATTTATTTAATTGATTTTTAATAGATTGAATTTTTCTTCTCAGAACCTGACTTTGATGACAGTAATTTTACACATAGTTATCTTTAATGCTGAAGGCCCACTCCCGTATAACTGCCTGTAGTAAATGCAACTAACTTTGCTGCCTATAATATTTTATGTCTCTGAAGCACTGCCCCCAATTTCCATTAGAAGAGACTCAACATCATGTTCTTCTTACCTGCCTGGAGCCAAGAAGGCTCAGTGTAAAGGGAGGCCATGGCCAGGGAACCTCTCTAGACAGCTAATCTAATGAACCTCAGATATAAGTCCTGTTGAAGTTGGCCAGTCATTAGCTCTTTTTTCAGAGTTAAACTAGTGGATCCCAGTAGAAGGAATGTAACATATTTATTGTTGGTATTATCTGCATCAGCCCTTAGACTTTGGCAGTCTCTAAGCAAGAGTAAACAAATTTTTGAGAAATTAGAGTATGTATAATCAAAGCACGAACACTGGAATGAAAAGGCAGATTTGAGAAAGAGCTAAGTCTAAAAACCATTCTTATGGGAGTAGAATAGTGATTGCAACCCATTATGTCTTAGATTTTTTAATAGATGGAGTATGATATTTTGTCTTAAGTCTCTTTAGATTTATCTGATCTTGGGGGCTGGGAAGATAGCTCAGTAGAATAAGTGTTTGCCTGGCAAGCACAGGGTCCTGAGTTCAATCCCTCGTACCTCAAAAAAAAAATTATAGATTTATCTGATCTCACCTGAGGAATTTGAGGGTTATTGAGATTTTATGGGTTTTATTGTAATTATTATTAATGACCCATAAGAGTGGTGAGCTATTAGTGTAATCGAAAACTTCCAGAAGAGGTTAGTGATTGAAGACCCTTCCTATATCTTGTTTACTATTATGACATTGTTTTAAATATCTCTTGGTTATACTTTTCTACTAGATGTTCAAGACCAAGTTAAAGTGAGACATATATTAATAAAATTTAGCTTTATGTTATTTATCAAACTCAGTCAAGTCTCTTCAGGATTTGCCTTGGAACCATATATAATGTCTCTCAGCTCTTCTGTTAGTGTCAGCCACATGAATGAGTCATAGCTTTTGTTTGACCAAGTTCTTTCTGTGAAAAAAAAAAACCATCTACCAGAACTGCAGGATGTCACAGAAGAGGTTCCCTCATATACTGTTTCCTTATCAATCTTCAAGGTCCAGAGTCAAAATGTTGGCTGTCCTCTTAGCCTATCCCTATCTTTCTAATTTTTGATTTCCAAATATAGTTGTTGAACAAACAGAAGAAAGCATTGAAGTTAGCATTTCATTAGGAGTAGTGAGCTTAATTATAATTTTATCTAAAAATCAAGCCCCTTGAACAATATAATATATAGCTTGAGAATTGTTATTTTTTATCAGCCATGGTTGCTGTAGTAGTGGAATCCCTATAAAATATTAACAGATGACAATTACATAATTCCAGAGAGAAAATTGAGATCAAAAGCCACACAAAAATGTCTTAGTATGACAATTATAGTGACATTTTTGTAGCACTTAAATCTCCATATTGACATAGAGTAGCCCTTTTAATTAATCATCTCTAAAATCCAAGAAGCTTCTTTACTTAATTTATTGTCCTTCAATGGGATGTCATTGAAGTATGTGACATTTTTTGTACTGCTAATGCCTAACATCCCTAAGTATAGTGACACATACGTAGCATGTATATCACATATATTTTTGTCAAAATATTATTATTGACCGATGACCTCATTTTTGTCTTGACATGAACCTATTATCAAAAATATCTACAGCAGAAGAGAAAGGCAGATGTCTGAATTTGAAAGAAAAGGCTTGTCACCATAAACAATCCAGTTTTCATTTTAAAAGACCTATATATCTGGAAGGTATAATTACATCTAGTACAGCATGAGATTAGCAACAATCAGTTGTCATAGCCATACGAAAGCATTTGGTTTTTAATTTACTTGCATACCTGAGCGTCTTAAAAATCAGAAAACCTCATTGTCTCATTTCTAAAAAAATTCAATCCTATAAGAATGACTAATTTAAATGCATTATAACAATATATTTAAACAATATCATTATGGATATCTTCTATAAGGCTGTGGAGATTATTTTGGCTTCCCACTAATGAACAAGAATTGAATGATGTTTCTAGGGAGCTTCTTCCTTATTCATCAACTGGAATCCTGTCCAACAGTTTTTCTCCATACCGAGGGATTTTTGTTTAATTATCATAACCAATTTTGATGATCTATGGCAACCAAATCATTGCACTTAACACATTATTTCTTGCATAATGCAGCACAGAGCAGCAGGAAGGTAGGGCTTTGGTGCAAGAACAAATGGAAAGCTGATCAGCATAGACACTGCTGCAGGAAGTTTCATGACTACTTAAACCACCCCAAACACCCCACTGCCTCTGGCTCCTCTCTTAATGACTCAGGAATCCAAGAGTGTATTGTGTGTTCCTTCTGGCAGCCCAGCACGGTGTGCAGATGAGTTTTGGCCTGGTAGCAGGTGCTCAGGGAGTGCCCCAGGACTGACACGTGCCGTGGCTGTGGATTGTCTTGCGATTTCAATGATTGCTTACATAGATTATCAAACACAATACAGATTTGACTTGGATTGTGTTGGGAGTGAAGCTGCCTGTACTTTGGGTGTCTAGGACAAAGCTGGGCCCCATGAGAAGCTCAGGGAGCTGATGCACATAGAGAGAACATGTTTATTGAAGTTCAGATTTATTCCCCTCATTTTATTTTCCTTTTTAAACTCTTTTTTGGAGCTGATTTGCCCAAACAAAAAAACAAAAAACAAAAAA